TAGCGATGGCCTCCAACCTAATAGCGATGGCCTCCAACATACTAGCGATGGCCTCCAACCTAATAGCGATGGCCTCCAACCTAACAGCGATGGCCTCCAACCTAGTAGCGATGGCTAGTGATAGAGTGTGAGTATAGTATAACATAACAAGACCTTTTGGCTGGCACATTCATTGTCAACTTGTGTTCAGCAAGAAACTGTGCATAGAATGTGCATATACATGTGCATAGACTATAGTATGCACCTGTACACTGCGTAGGCATTGGAGAGACGCGTTCTTGCGGTTGCATGTGGGGCAGCATCACCTGAGTTCAATACGGAACATGGGTGAGACGTTGGGCAAAGCAGAAGTCATTATACTGGCAATTCTCATTGCACACATGCAGACACTTTGAGGCCTGGTTTTGGATTGGTTCGTGCAAAAGCAAGAGAAACCCTCCAGCTCGGGAGGCAAGCTGCTGCCTACTACACGCAGATGCTCGAGCAGAATGGCTTGGGCGATGTAGGCCTGTCCAAAGATTGTGTTTGGGATACTGTAGCAGTTGCTTTTCTCATGTGTTCAATGTGTCCTCTAGGCTGAAATCCGCAGTTGATTTCAGTCACGGGGGCCTACGCTCGATCGTAAGACTGGAGTCTTGCTCGTCAAGTGGAAGTTGCTGTGCCATCGAGCGGCGCGAGCGGCTCAATGTCGAGATAGAGTCGAGGCTTTGAGAGGTGCAGGAATCTAGGCAAAGAGTGAGACCCATTCAGTGGCGAAGCCGTCCGCGCGGACCATCTTGGTAGCCCACCTTTTTTCTTTGACCAAAAATAACACAAAAAATAGAACACAACACCCCACGACGATTGATGCATCCCCCTAATACCCGACTTTGCGTCATAGATATGACCCATTTTGGGCGTGTTGTATTCAATCAGCCTCAATAAATAGAAAAATCTGCAGGTACGAACACGCACACGCTTTCAATGATGCAATTCCATTCGGGCAACATAACTTTGCATTTTTCAATATGTTCGTCGCTTATCTTTCGGAAAGGCCGCAGGGCAAGCACACACGATATCAATAAGGCGTTTTCACTCGGGCGGCATAACCGACATCACGATTGATTCGCTCATTTTCGTTGTTTGTTTAAACCTAAACACATAGCATTCTGGAGCAAAAATAGCACCCTCCCAAGCTAAAGCTTAAGCTATGCAATCTAGCAATTCCAGCGGTTTTCGCGAACTGAGACAACGCCTCAGCACCTTCGGCGCGGGCGGATTTTTGAATAAGGTCTCTTCAGACAATGAAGGAACATGAAGGAACAAAAGGCGTATTAGTATTATGCATGCAAACGACCTAGACTTGAATAGTAAGCTGAAACCACACACCAAAGCGAACAACCCGAAAAGATGTTGGAAGGGGATTGAGGTCTTGAACTGGTTCTCCCAACGAATCATCCAAGCACAGTCTTGAACATGGGCAAGAAAGACCTCCCAGCTTGCAGACGAACTCCCCAAGTGATTGACCCATGCGCCCAAATGTCCCAACAATGGATTCCGGACTCTGAGCAAACTGAGCCCGTTTCTTTGGAGAGGTCCTTCCCATCGTTGGACTCCAGGGGGGGTCGGTAGAGGTCGGCACTCTCCTCGGCAGGTGCCGGTCCGCTCCAACCGGTGGGTCTCTCCACGGAGGTGGTGGAGCCTGGGTGGCAGGGAGGACGTGGCGGACGAGGTGTTGGTTTCTTTTTGAATTGAGGAGTTGAAGGCGGGGCTTTGTAGAATATGATGTGGCTGAACCAATTTGATATATATATATATACATACACGAGGGGGGAAAAACATACATTTAGACAAAACAAACATATATATATATAGAGAGAGAGATCTCGCCTAATTAGTTATGCATCCTCAAGATGGCTTGGGGATGAACATGTACCACCAGGTTCTAACAGTTTTCAGGAAGAAGGTGCTGAAATCGTATCAACAAAAAAGCCCAGAGAGAGACATTCATGAGACATTCACCCAATTTGATTGAATCTCCCAAACAGCCTAGGACAAGGGTTGGGCCTTTACACCTCCGCCGTTGATTCCGTTGCGAACTCATGTCGAGACGCCGGAAACCATCTCAGGAAGCGTTACGCTTTCTGATGGCCTACACGACAGAGGAGGGCTGCTGGGAGGACGCCGAAGCCTACGCCATGCGGCTCTTGGATACTTCTGGGCCTGAGAAGGCCTGGCTCGGAGACTGCGGGGGCTTTTCCATGGATCACAGTATCGTTTTCTCTTGGCTGTTCAACCTTGTCGACTTGCACTCCTGCTCTGGACACTTCTTGTTCTTGTTCGGCACTTCACGGAATGTCTTCTTCCTCCATGACATGCAGGGCATCTTGATGTCTTGTCCCCTTTAACTCAAAGCCCTGGTGGCTCTCCTTCATGAGTCTCAAAGTCTCAAGCATCAACTGCCGCCTGCAACTCATTGTGCCAAGAGAGTTCAAAAGAGCTGCATGTGCCAAGCCTGATCGGATGAGTGAAGGATCCAAGCCGACAGAGGTCCTTAAAGGGATTTGAAGTGGAATTCTTTTCTTCTCCTATCGTATCCTCGTGATCCAGTGCTGAGGTCAAGACGTCCCTTCCTCATCCCCTCTCAACCATCACTGGATATTCTCCCTTCTTAAGTTTGTTCGAGTGAGTCCCTTGGATTCTTCTCCCGTCGACCTAACCCTGGACATACCAAGAAGTTTTGCAGCTGTCAGATGCTGTCAGTAGCTCATTCAGCCTCTCACCACTGTCCAGATACAGCAGTTGGCTTGTTGTGGTCCAGTATTGAGCCCCATTCTGTGAATGCCTTTTACTCGAATGAGAACTCAAACACCTCACTCACACCCACAAAATACATGTTTCCAACCCGAGATGCCGCAGGCCAGGTGTTTCATCATGAAGCGGGGCCCCAACCGGTTCTTCACTTTCTTTTTGAGGGAGCTCACATTCCCAAATACTCCATGTATGGAATACATTGAATACATGCAGAGGCATTGACCCTCAAAATCACATTGAGCTCGCAGGAGGTGCGCATTCTGATTTTCTATTTTGCAGCCACTTGCAGCCACACCCAATGTAGTGTAATGATAGTTGATATGCACCCAAAACCATGGAGCGTGCGGGGTTTATTCTCCATTCTTATCAGGCCTGTTGCGCAGGGGCGCTGGGGGAGACACTGACCTTCAGTCTTTTCTTCGGCCTCACAGGACGAGGCCAAAGCGATGCTTCGGAAACTGCGGCAGCGCGCCGCCAGCTAACGCCAATGCCAAAAAGAGCGCACGTGTCGCTGCGTGGTGCCTTTTTGGGATAGATATGGATGTTGGTCACAGGAAGGGGGGCCCTCCAACATTAAGAACATGAATGTCTTCGGATTTGCAGAGGTCGTGTTCTAAGGGCTTCAGATCAGCAAGGCAGAATCCCCTTCACAATGCACTGAAGTTGGGCGGTTCGCCATTGAAGGACTACAGTAGTTCGCTGGGGGTTCTTTCTCAGTGCGCTTCATGAGGGTAGATCATGGTAGATCCATGTCCTCTGTGGGCCAAGTCTTGTTTTTTTAATTGTTGGGTTGGTTCCATATGGTTCTATAAAACAATCCCATATGATCCCATATGGTTCTATATTCTTTGGGTTGGTTCTATATATGGTTTCCCGGGGTTTTGTGGATTTCTTCATGCCAGTTGAATCTCTGCTCCGTCGCCGTCGATGGTTCAGGACCTGGGTCAATGCCGGAAAGCCCTGGGCTCCACGGCTGAAGGCTCCTATGTGCCACTCGGTCCTCCATTGGCTGCAGCAAGGTTGACATGTCGCCCATGTCGTACAACTGTTAGTTTTCTGGAGGAGTGCAAACGAAAATCGCCACCGGACATCAAAGCATTTGCTTTTTTGTTGACATGTGTTGAGCCAAAAAGGATGAAGTGATGAAGCTTCTCTCTGGCAGGTGTTAAGGCCCTTAACTCCAAAGAATTTGATAAGAAATTGAATTATATATAGGTGGTGAGACCTTGGGGCTTCCTCAGCGTGAAACCTCCTCAGTTTGATTCGCAGACTGTTCATTCAGCACGATGGAATTTTCGGAGATTCTGCCTGATCAGACCGGAGCAGGCCATTCCCCAGACACATCAAATCACACTCAGATGTCCAGCTGTCAGAAGCGGATCTTGTAGCAGTGGTCGAGCCTTTCCAAGGTTCTGAACCTCTTTCAACTTGCATGTGTTGGAGGCCACATGTTGCCGATGTGGGAACCTCTAGTCTGAACTCCTTTCTCCTGGTCCCGGCCATTGGCAAGAAATACTTGACGTGTGGCTAGCTTGTGCTGGCCCACCGCCACCACCTGAGAAGTCTTTGCAAGCTTTTTCATGACTGGGGGTGGCTCCACTGAGGTCGCCCTTGGATTCCGAAATCACTTTTCCCTTCAATCAGCCTGATGCTCAGCACTGGAGCAGGATTTGGTTGAGTTGCTAAATGGATCCAAAAAAACAACTGTCCATGGACAACCTCTCCCATGGGGCTGCAGGAATCCCCACAGCCAATCTGCACTGTGATGTATGAGGTAGTTGTGTATCTGTTGTGTATGTTGTGTGTGAGGTGCTGGAGGCTCTGTCTTTTCTTCACCTTTTCCATCACCTGTAGTGTGTGAGTTGCGAATAGTTGCTATACGGTCTGACCAGAGACCACCCGAGTCGGGCGAGTTTCTGGCTTTGAGAAGCTGTGGTGACTGTGGTGTTGTATGCCGGTTTCAGTGGAATGGCAGGGCGCCCTGCACCATCCTGCACGCCACAACACTTTAGAGGTGCATGATTCCGGACTTTGCGTTATAATGCCTTCACACACGTTATCCATTGAAGTGCTTCCTACGTTGTTCGACTCTCCAGCTCAGGGCACTTCTATCGCTGTGACCCTCGGACCGAGGGCACCCGTGGACGATCGCCCGAGGCTCGCCAGTGCCAACATCGAGGCAGATGAGGACGGCTGGACGGAAGACATCCGGAACTTCCAAAAGGTGGGGATCCGACAGAGTGCGGAGTTGATGGGGGGCCCGGGGGTCCTGGTGTGCCTCAAACACTTGGCGCCGCCCATCTGCGGGTGAAGCCCTATCCAAGCCTAAGAAGCGTTTTGGGCCCTCAAGTTCGGGTCCACCCTGCACGGTGATTCAAGCCCGCGAAACCGGTGAAACCGGTGGGCCGTTTCGCAGCCGGCCCCCGCGGACGTGGCAAGGCGGTGACGGCCATGAGTGACTCGGTGGGCACCAATGAATGGAAAACGGCCACTGGGAAGCATTGAGCCGATTTTAACGAGCAAGCGTTTGCCAGGAAGACACGAGCGTCTTATCTTGTCTGTTTTTCTTTCCGGGTGGGACGAAGGTTTTTTGGGTGCAAGGGATTGGGATGATTGGGTGGACCAGCGTGTGCCGGCCACAGCATAAACTCGGCTGTAGCTGATACTGATCCAAGCACTCACGATAAACCTGGATTGATTCAGGTGCCTCAGTATCCGGAACAGGAGCAGCGGCCTACAAGGTACTTGCATGTAGAGATGTAGCTGCTTCATTTAAGGTAGTGAGGGGAGCGCACAAACATTCCCCAAGTACATATATGAGTCATGAGTGTGTAAGTGTGTATGTATATATATATGTGTGTGTGTGTGTGATATATATATATACATAATTCATGCACACACTAGCGAGCTTCCCCGGAGATTGAAGAGACATAATGAGAGCATCTGTGGTGGGGTAGATGTTAGCAATGCGGATAGTGTGGGTTTTAAGTTTAGGAGGTTAAGGGACGTGCTTGAACGGATCCCAGCGCAAGCTGTGAAGTTCGGGCTTGGTACGGCGAATGTAGTGGCGAATGTTTGGAAGTTGGCCGCTCCATGAGAACTTGGGAATCCGCGTGATTTCTGTCGTAGAGGATTGTAGAAGTTGTGATTGTTACAATAGAGTTGGTGGCTCATCATCTAGATGCAGCTGGATAGCATCCCTACACCAAGTACCTTTAATATTTCTGGTGTAGTCAAGGTCCTGCCCAACCGACGTGCTCGTCGCTGTAGTCAATGGCCTCCAAAAGGCCTTGGTGTGCTTCGGTATGTGGCTCAAGCCATGTCGAGAATGAAGGGCTTAGACGCCAGAAGTGGACTGACACGACATGGGAATGGTTCAAGATGGACACTCAAAGTTGATTCACCCGCAAGGCCCTTGATCGTTCGATCGTCTACTTGGTGCTTCAGCAGTTTTTGGATCCAGGGCTCGACCCTGCGAACAAATGAACAAAGAATCCTGAGACACAGACTTAGATTTAGATCTTAGATTCGACACAGCTTGCGCCCGCCATGAGCTGGACACGGCCGTGGTGTTGGAGTTTATTGGGCCTAGGCCGGCTGCGAAGAGCGGCTGCACACAGCACGCCTGGCTGAAGGCGTCCAAATTCCCCACAAAGCCATGGCAAATTTGGAATTGTTTCTACTCGTGCAGGTGTTGGGGCCTTTGTGGGTGACTTGTGTTGTACATGCTCCTTATGCCTTGCCCCATTAAAGGGCTAAGATGTTCTTACACCATTGGCCACACATAGAGGCCAATCCTCAGCACGTCCATCTGCCCCATTGCCGCCAATGATCCCAGTCCTTCCCCTAGGGCGAAGAGATGTGGGGGCCCCCCCCTGGTGACGTCCTGATGGTCTTCCACGGTGCGTCCTGGAGGTTGGTGCAAACGACGAGTTGATCGAAACAGGATGGACCTCTAAAAGCCAAACAAGTCCATCCCAGTGAGAGTTCCCCAGGCAGACTCCGGCCCATTTGGACATGTCCGGGATGCCCTCCCAGCCACTGGAATGGGAATCGGCCCATGGATTTCAAGCCACATTTAGCTCCCAAGCTCATTCTGGAGTTCACCGGAATTGCGATGGCGGCAGGCCTACTTGGTGCGGACTTCGTTCAGGCGGAGCAGTCCTGCACAGTGGAGGAGGGCCCCAAAAAGAGTGGGTTGAAATATGTTGAAATCATGCCAGTTCTTCCTGAGCCTCAACTGCGAAGTGCGTTCCCAAACGCTCCATGTATGGAACAATCCATCCCAATGTAGGCGAAAAGGAGCATAGACATGGAGTGTTTGGGATTAGCACTCATTCATGGGACGGTTTGACATCCTGACCGTTGGCCGTGGAGGACGCCCACTGCAACGGAGAAGCCGCGGGGAAGCTGGACGAGGACGTGAAGGACGAGCTGGTGGCGTGACTCACCTCAGGGGGGAGCTTCGGGTGCCATGTGAGATTCGCCTGGCAAGCAAAGTGCATAGAGCATCCTTTGACAACATCCTGCTGAAATGCAATGCTTTTAAAACATCTTGCATCATGTGTTGCATGGTTGCCTTCGAGTTTGTTGATCAACTGCCGCACCATCCACTGATGTTAGAGATTGTCGCGTGCCTGAGGCCATAAATGCCAGAGGGAGCGTGTGTTTGATGAAATGTCCTTAGCTGAAGACAAGGCCATGCTTGAAACCACTAGGCTCACTTCAGAACTGTGGATCTCCAAAGGGTGCATTTCACTCTCTTCAGTGCAAAGCCGTACACTGGTTGTCCTGCTTGGCCGTTCTGCAGGACTGCGGCTGCGGCTCCCTCGCTCGCGCGGAAGGCCGTTCAGATGAGGTGCCTAAGGTGGCTTCTGCAACCTTGGCTGCCGCACTGTCCGCGAGTGCGATTAGGCTGGAGCTGCTGTGCCTTCAACATCCTTTTCTTTTCTCCTTTGGGACGCTGAAGATGTAGAGAAGATCCAGTTTGTGAAGAATATCCTCCTTGTGGGTGGATTCTCAGATACTTTGGGTTCGATGTTGATCCTTTTGTGTTGGCAAGAGGCACACCGCCAGATCTTGCTCTTGCCCCAGGCACAATCAAGAGATGGTCCAGATCCCAGCTGGTCGTTTCCACATGGGCGATCGCAAGGAGCGAGTCCATTTTCCCCAGGCGCAAGGGTACTCCGCAGGGTTTGCTCGACTGAGAGAGCCCTCGGGGAGGTTGTGCTAAAGTGTAGTTAACGTTGCTCTTATTTAAGTCTTATTTGGCCTCATGCTTCGGTTTGAGCGCTTTGAGGAACGCATGAGGACGAGGAGAGATCGAGTCAACTTAATCTTACTATTCGAGCCGGTGATGTTGTTGCAGTTTGGTGGCGTGTCCGAGATGGGACGATGCTATACTAAATCCAGGGAACTGTGTGGGTTGATGATGCCGAGAGTCGGCGAGCGCAGCATCATGGTTTCTTTACAAACGCTTCACCTAGGATTTGAGGATATGCGATTGCAAAAGGGTTTGGGGGCTTGAGATGTTTGCTACGTCGCCTTTTCACAGTTTAGTTAGCTTCTTTTCTGAATGCAGGATGGAGAGGGGCCAGTTCGCCCGGTTCGGATGTCTGGCTTTTATTTGGACACCTTTGAGGTTAGACACTCGGCGCAGAACTTCCGAGTTTGGTTGCAAGCATTGGCAAGTGTGGGCTCCCCGCAATTGATCACGAAGAATCAAGCTCTTTCCTGGACGGGTGCCTGATTTGAGACCAAGCCATGTTGTGCACACCATCGAACATGTCCCCGTTACCTCACTTTGGTCGTGTCCGAGATCAGAGAGATACGTGCCGCTGAGACTGGACACATCGCAGGCGAAACCGAACAGATTTAAGGGCCCCGAGCATCATTGGACCACTTCTGGAGGGTCAACAGGCCCTGCTTTGTCACGGCACCATTCACCTGTGGTCATGATTCTTAGTGGAGGTCTTCCGGTTTCAAATTGTGCTGCCAAAGAGAAGTGAAACACTTGCCGTGGCCATCGGTGGCATTCTCTCAAGAACAGTGACTCCACCTGTGAGAAGAACACGGGAGATGGGCAATGAACACCAATTTGTGGGGCTGGTCCTGAACAGGATAATGATTCATGACGTGCACTGATCACCACCCAAATGACCCAAATGTTAGGAATGGTTGGCCTCACCGGTTGAAGTACCTTCCATGTAATCACGTGTGATCTCCTATGATCTCCGCTCATCTCATCTCTCTCTCTCTCTCAGGTCCGCGGCTGGGCTGACTCGCGTGCGCGTAATCGACGCGCGTCGATCGACGCGTTTCGCCCGCGGGGTTTTCGACGCCGAGGCAATTGGAAGTTCTGGGACTTCGTGGTGGAGACGCAGTACGTCACGGATGCAGAGCGTTTAGGAGACTCCTTCGTGGCAGAGGTGTACTTGTCGGATGCTGTGAGCGCCACCATCTTGAAGAAGGCACGGTTTGCGGGCATACTCGTGGACCAGCCTCATGCAGCCTCCCAAGCTTCAGGTGAAGGAAACCATTGCCACGTTGTGCCACCAACTTTTGTATTAGATCGCATCAATCGCATCCTCCTTCATGCCACTGGCGACCGTGTCCTTGGGGGATGCCTCTTAGCTGGCACCTGGGTGCCCAAACCACATGGGTGCCGGTTAAAAACAGGTCAACTTCAAAAGCTTGAGTGATGGGTCGAAGCTTAGATCAGCATATTAGCAGATACTAGCACCTTAGCTGTTCTCTCCAAGCATTTGTTCCTCCCCACCGGGCCCCACCGCCCCTAGTAGGATGCCCGTTGGCTGTTTCTCCGCCGAACCGTTTCCACCGGTTCGCCCCCAGGTGGATGCAGTGCCCTGGTGGCTCCCGGTGCCCAACGCCTCGTGGCGCACGCCGGAAGGCGTCGACAGCGGTTTGGACGAAGCCTCTGGAAGCCGTTTTGGCGACCGCTGGCCCCGCGGCAGATCACTTGTGTCACGCTGTCACCTGGGTGGGAGGAGGTGTGTGGGATTTCTTCGATGTGAGAGGCGATCTCCAATCAGATGAAAGGACATGACAAGAAGTGCCGGTGATTTTGGGAACGTCTCGCATTTGATATAGACATTATTAATATTATGTTTATGACGTGTTCTTACACGAATCTTCGGGTGGATGTCTTCTTTGCTCTTGGGCCGGCCAGTCAGTCCCCAGGCTTGAGTGTCCCGTTGGATCACTACTGGTGACCATATCATATCATGAATCATACATCATATCATTAATTATTTTTAATATAACATGTCACAATAATATCATCCTCATCCTCATCCTCATCCTCATCCTCATCCTCATCCTCATCCTCGTCATCATCGTCATCATCGTCATCACCATGATCATCCTCCAAGAGTCAAACAAACCAGATCTGGAAGAGTTCTTTTGGGGAGAAGGGTTGGTTGGTTAGGTTGGTGCGCAGGTCATCTTCCAAGTCTTGTGCTTGCTGATGCGCACGGTCGCCCGTGCACCGAGGAGCCACCCAGCAGTTCATATTTCATGGCGCCTGGGTGGAGTGGGAGGAGTGGGTGTGCCAGCGGGTTGGTCAAAAAGGGATGACCTCATCAAGCAACATCCCCAAGTGTCCCCTGGTCATTCGCGGAATTCGCGACCAACGACGGCCCCCACACTTTAAGGGTCGATTTGAGTGCCGGGTCTGACGACGGCGGCACCGGACCCCGATCTCGACCCGTCCGGCACGTGCCGGCTCCGAGACAAGATCCGGATCTTGGGCATGCATGGGCTGTGACTCACCACAGAATATGGTGATCCCTAGGCTTCCCACCATGAGCTATATTTACCGAACATCTCTTTAAACATCTTTAAACTAAGGATTGGAGACTACAGACTACAATACCAGGTCAACCATGTGAAAACTAGTCACAGAGAAGAGCCCCGAATGAATCGAACTTGCGAAGTTTACGGAACCCGTTTTTGATTAAACATAGGTTAAACATACTTACGTAGGGGCACTAGGGCCTAGGGAGGGTTGCGGTGACGGTGAAGATCCATTTTTTGAGAAGTCCAGTGGGTTCGGCACAGCTCAGGAATGATGCCAATGCATACTGCCATTGGCGCAATGCATCCCTACCCACGGAGGCGATGGGCAAAACAGCCAGGAATACGGCGGTTGTATACACCCCTCCACTGACCAAGAGGATGGACCCTTCAAAACTACACTTGATGCATCTTGATGCGGTTGGGTATTGGATCCAAAATGATCCAAGGCTTCTTTACTCACAGGTAACGTATGACCTGCCAACGTGGGCGACCTGTTTCTTTTCTGGTGTGAGGACTCCAAGCACCGCAGCGCGAGAACCCCACCAGATCCAGGGAAACGAGCGTTTTTTGGAAGAAAAGGCCGAAGCAAGGCCTCCACGTTTCAGAGTCCCATGGTCATCCATCGTCCATGGTTCAAGGTCCATGTTTCCTTTTTTGCCACTTCTGACGCTTGTTTCTCGGTGAGCATCACTGAGTCAAAAGCAAGAGCATGACAACGGAAGAGCATGACACCGTGCCTTGCCCCAATCCATTCAGGTTGGGATCTTTGGGGTGACCGATCCCTCCAATGACGATGCTGAGGGGTATCAGGCTAGATGTTTGGGCATATGTTTCTCACCAGGAGCATCCAATGGGTTTCCAATGGGCTACCCTACACTATCCAGGATCTCCATCGGACCACCCATTATATAAAGTGCAGGCATGATTTCTCAATAGTTCTTGACAAAATGTATCGATCCTATCATGGGAATTCTTGCCGCATGAACACTGATCCGCAGAAATTCATGTGTATACATGGGTCGGAGCACATATCGGTTCTGCAGGAGTCCAAACAATCCAAGGTGACGGTGGCACTCGTCATTTGCCATGTGTTCTTTTGCCTTTGTCATGATTGCAGGCACAGTGGGAGTATGCAGCGCGAGGTGGCCTCGAGGGGATGTACTACCCTTGGGGTGATGAAATGTGACACGGTAGAGTTCACGGCCTTTGGGCGGCGATTGCGATGGTGGCATTGGTTAGATTGAAAGATGTTGAAAGGCGTGGGGATTCTTTTAAGAGACTGCATACAGTTGGGGGCAGCCCTAGTCCTTTGACGACAGTACAGTATATTATCTTCTCCAGAATGCTTTACTACCAGACACCTGAATGGACATGGACATCATTAGATTCTTGGGCGTGATCAAAGCTACGCGTGTAAGTTGCGACTGCGCGTAAGCGAGTTCCAAGCTGGACAGGTTTTGCACCACCCAGTTCCAAGAGCTAGTGTGAGATCTTCGTTTTGGGTCCACCGTAAGGGGTCCAGCATCTGACACAACCAGAAGCCACTCACTTTGCCCAACGGAACAACACCTCGAGGCCACTTTTCCTGTGCGAGCAGTTGTTTTTCCCAGATCTTTTGTCATAAGTGAACATGTGGTTTTATGGGACTGCATTCAGCAGGTCTGCATAGCACGTTCTAAGTCATGGCATGGGTGGAGCCACGTCTGAGTCGCCCATACTGGCTGAGGTATGGCAATGAGACCAAGGAGGATGAAGCAAGATATCGGATGAACATTTGGCAGGGCCAATTCCCCACGTTGAATACAGCAGAAGACGGGTACATCAAAACTGCTCCAGTGGATGCTTTTGGACCTCAGAATGAGCTTTGGCTTTGCACATTTGGCTTGAGACCAAGGATGGAGGCAACGAAATCAGCATCAGAACAAACCAGTACAGCGGAGATTTTCTTGACCAGTTTTGCAGCGTTGCTGTTTTTTGCCGCAGCTCACCATCTTCCCAGGCATGCTCCTGGATTGGCAGGTCATTGAGCCCTCTGCATCCTGCAAAAGATGCAACCAGAAACATCCTGCAACTAAACCAGTGGGATTATTTGAGAACCAACCAGAAGAGAACACTCACGGCAGTAGTGTAGGGTGAGGTCAAAGCCAGGCCTTTGCTTCAGGAAACGTCCAAGTATATACTTCGGTGTGAACTACAGATCTGTGGAGGTTTGCGGGGTTTTAGACTTATGGCCACTAAAATCACGTTCATGAATTTGATGATTTCGGAGTTGGTGCGCTGCGCTCGCCTCAATCTACCTTGTGTGTTTTCAAAAGGATTTCCCTTCCATCCAACGGCGTGGCTCGTGGCCTCCCAGGACTGGGGATTGTACAACATGGTGGGCAATGTCTGGGAATGGACCAATGATTGGCTTCCTGGAATGTGCAGAATTGTGCAGACCAGTTGTTTGTGATGTTTTATGGGTTTTTCTTCTTTCCGTTTTGGGGCTGCGCTGCCCCTACTACTCTGCATCGGCGATATTTGCTTGTGGTTAGTGCACAGCCACCGGAACTTGGAGAAGCATCCAAACTTTTACAGCTCCAAAAGATAACCTCAGAAAATGTAAGCAACACGCAACAGATTCCAAAACCATCAAAAAACACTAGATGCACATTGTTATTCTTGCAGTGCCATCATAGCCTAGTCTTGCTCTTTCGCGGCTATAATTTCCATGGAGTCAGCTACCCTACGTGTCTTGAAGCTCGTGCCTTATGGAATGAGTCAGGCATGAGATGAGTCCATCCTTAAGCTCCTGGATATTTCTGGACGCCTAGACACGCGATGCCTTCTTCACTCCTTAGCCCTCTTAGACGAGCTGTTCTGGGGCCCGGAGGATTGCGAAGTCGGCAGTCCGCCGATCGCTCAGGTTTAGCCCGGTGCATTTCCTGACCGAAGAGAATCAAGCGACGGGCTTCGTGGATCCTGAAGGGCCCACGGAGGAGGAGCTGGACGAGCTGGTGCGGTTTCAGCGGTTAGTACTTTGGGGGGTGGTGAAGTCGAGGTAGGACGGACCGCAGCGGTGTAGCAGCTAGATTCGATGATTTTCTGACTCAACTGAGGAGGGTGATCAGCAACTTGCTGCCCAAAGCAAGGCTAGAGATGGCTACAGATGTTTTCTTTGGTGATGCAGGAAGGCCCATATTGGAATACCATCTACCCTACCATCTCATGACGTTGCGGTTTGGTCCAAAACCCGGCAGAAGCGCTCAGAAGAACAGAGGTGCGCCACTGGTAAGTCTCCCAAGTCGGACTGGCCAAGGGCATCCTGTCCAGTGATATCCAGTGGGCTTGCCATGGCTTGCCAGAACGAGTCGTCCCCTGGAATCTTTGCAGATGGCACCTCCTTTGTATGCACTCTGGATCAAACAAGAGAATACAAGAGATGCTCTCGTTGGCCACCATCTACGGCAAACTCCCATGTATTCCCGTTTTGCTTTGAACCTAACTTATGACATCATAACATGGCGGCCACGCGTGTTCCGCTTGTGCTTTGCAACTACAGGTGGAGAGGGGATATGTCAAGAAGGATGCGTCTGGAGCCTTCGTGCCTTTGGCCTTTTCATGGCGGGCGCTAAGGGAGAAGAAATATCCAACAGTGCGGCTTTGTTTTGCCTTTTGAGTTAATGGCACCCTGATGGCGCGCGGGCTGTGACCCAATGTGATCCACACGTTTAACAAATTGATGTCAAGTCTTCCTGTGAAGATGTGTGATCCCATGGCACATGCGGTTCGGACCTTCCGCCGTGTGGACATGACAGGACATGATGGACCGACCTATACCGGTCTTCCAGCAGGTGAAAAACACCATGTTTCACGATGGAAGCAGCAGGTCCACCTGTGGTCTACAGGATTCCACCGGCTTTTTTCAGAGGTTCTTTTTTGGGAGGTCTGGATGATCTCTTGATGCATGCGCTTGGCATGTCACACAGGAAAGGCACAGGAGAAAAACACACATGTAATTAGTAAGAGAGAGACATGCACACATTTGCGCTCAGCCGCTTGGTAGTCCGCTTTGGTTTATTCTTACATGATGCGATATCCTTTCCCGGATTTCATGGTGCAGAGGGTCCATTTATGTTTGAGCTCCGCATCAGCTGAAGTTTGAGCTCCATTGATCATCGAACATGTGACCGTCGATCGTTCCGGGTGAGTTGGAAAAGAACATGGAACTCCCGAATCTCAGGGCTGAAACGAGACAATTTCTTGCGCTTGATATTTCTTTGGTGCTTGAGGAGAAGATCAAGAAAGGGGGCTCCTTCATGTGCCACAAGTCGCACTGCCGCTCGACTGCGTTAAGACGGCAGGAGAAGCCAAAAGGAGACACCGCAACCTGACGCCCGATACTTTTGGGAGCGGCCGGTACTCCTGCCGTCCCACGTGCCCGTTTTCTGGGCCATGAACCAGATGGGCACTGGCTCGTTGCAACTATCCCGTTTTACGAGTGAAAGGGGCACAGGGAAGGTTGTAGAAGTAAAACATGCAATCAATTTGTCATGCTGAATCCTTTTTATGTGTTAGTTGCAGGTTGGGGATGAGAGCTGCAAACTGCTCATTACCGAGTGGGATTTCTGTCTCCCTGCAGAAATCAATCGGCCTGACCAGCTAGAAAGACCCAGCTATCGCCATCATGGGCTCAGGGACGTGGAACTGGGAACACCTCGTCCATTCCTCTTGTATTGAGTTCACGTCTGTCATTTCATGCGGATCGAGTCGAGTTGAATAGCCCAGCATCAATTTCTCAGTCTGGCCTTGAGGCCACCAATCAACGTGTGCAGTTGAACAGGTATATACAAGCATTTTTGGGGGTGGGGGCTTCATACTCCCAGACCAAGCCCCTCATAGCCTGGCACAGGACGACCGGCTTCCACCGAGGCTGGCGCTACCGCAACTGCGCGCGGCACCACCTGCCAGCCGACAGCACCGCTCATCACATCGGACTGCGTTGCGCGAGAGCCATGAGCGGCGCAGCCCTTGACATTGAGTGAAAAAGGGCGAGCGAAGTGGTGGATGGTGGAAGGGTTCGTAGCATGGGCTGGGTGCCCAAGGTTTCTTTTCTAAATACGGAACTGGAAGTATTTGGGGGCTGGGCAGTGCTTCGTGTCATGTCAACAAGAGGCTTTTGGTATTTGTGTTGGATTTTGTGGTTACGGATGATAAGCATGGTAGCATCTTGGTTCGTGTTGATTGCTCCCTTGAGTCTTGGGCAATTGATTGAAGAAGCAAGGTGCATTGTGTTGCAACACCGCCGTGTCCAGTTTTCACCGAACTTGATCCGTGGCTTCGCCGGTCACAAGCAGGCCTGTCAAAGGTCACAAACACGCCAACAAGAGGTCAAAGGATCACTACCCCCTTGCGGTGCTTGACCCCTGAACCGGTGAGGATAAGGTAGTAGTGATGTCAAAGGTAGTTTTTTTGTGGTGACCTCCAGGCTGCAGCTTCTAGGTGCGAGGGTGCGACCGGCCCTTTTTGGCCAGGTCAAAGCTGAATGGAACAAAGCCAAGGTGGGCTGCGATAGGCAATGGGACATGGTGATGGTGACCTGAACCCGGCTTTCCCCGATGAAAGCGATGCAAATGGGACTGGTTCTGAAAGGAGCAGGTTTTGGATAGGTTCTTGGGCGACTGGGGTCCCTTGCGCTGGCCAATTGTTTCTACAGGGTCTACTCATTCATGTAGAGACAATCACCGAACATCCTCTCCGTTTTGCTTCATTGTTGGGAGAGATGCTGCATTTTTGAATCCGGCATGCCAAGCATTCGGTCTGTCACACCACCTCTCGTCCACGTCGGCATTGGAGACTGAGTGGCTCCAATCGGTGCTTTCTCCTGTGTCGTTGTCCAAAACATGCCAAAACCATATCTAAAACCACGTCGCGCGCGTCCAATGAATTCGGTGTTTCACCAGTTCCCTTTTTTGCGGACATCTCAAAAAATCTTCCAAAACCCACTCACTTGGCCCTCGATGTCCATAGATCACTCCATAGATCTATTGAAGATATATAGGTCTTCCGTTACTGGGCCCAAGCAGCCGTTGTCCACGGTTCCTCGGTTGAAGGCGTACTGGGCCAAGGTCTTCCCAATGGGTTGAGCCAAACTTCAATGGTCCGATCCTAGATAGGCCGAGGACGCACAGGGTGCGACGAAAGCAGCCCGTCCCCGAACGCGGCTAGACCTGCTACCGCTCGGCCTTCCCCTCCGAACACGGGGGCGGCGCCATGCCAGGACGCGCTGAACCACGTCATGGGCAACATCAATCAGCGAGCTCCTGGGTCGAAGTGTTTTATATTTTTTGAGAACGATGGATGAGCGTTATCATGCGGTATCAGTGAATGACTTTATATATAGTTGTACTACTGAGTGCTACTGTAGTTGTTTTGGGTTAGTTTTTGGTCTTTAGGAATCTTCAACATCCGCCACCGATGTTGGAGAAATCTAGCGCACTGACCGGTTCATGCCTCTTCTACAGATCTTCATATGCCTTCTCCTGGGGGTGTAGGTGGAGGCACCATGTTTTGCATGGTGCAGTGGAACATGACCGTCAGCGCGGCCTCACCACAGCGGGGCAGATTCATCTTCCATGTTTTCCAATGGGTCCCGCGTCCGGTGGTGGTGCTGGTATGTTCCAGCGGATGACCATAAACATTGGTGCCCACCCTGACCGCGGAAGACCCTTGCCTATAGAGACCCCTCCAAAAGCATCCTCATCCCCAATTGCGGGGTTTTCGTGGCCCACAAAAGCCGCTCAATTCAAAAAGACAATTAATTATGGATGGCACATGATGTAGCTAGGGATCCGTGCCACTGTTCCATGATAACATTGAGAGATCGTTTCCACCAAGTTGGGCACAACCAATGCGGGCTTTTACCAGCGCAGTCGAACCGGATGGGACACGCCTTAAACCGGCTGAGGCCGAGGGCGGGGCGCCGTTCCAGCTGATGGATGCTGGGGAGCTCAGCGATGCCTTAGTAGCTTCTGGCTACTAGTAGTAGTGCCCTTGTTACCAGCATCTGGTAGCTATTGAAATTGATTGCCCCTGCTGTGGTGAAAATGGCGGGTCCAACCACGCGGTTCTTAGCACCAAATCGGTTGAAGACTTTGAAACGGCTACTGCATGTTCAAGCTACCAGAGCCTGTCCTTATGTACTTACAGTATGTACACTCTTTACGTCCTGCGCGGGGCTTAACAAGAAGTTCCTGGATTTTGAAGAGCTTGTCTCATTTAGATTCATTTGGTTTCGTGCTTGAAAGCTAGTCATGGTGCTGCTGCATTGGCACCTTGAAGCATTGACGGCACAAAATTAACGCAGGGTGCATGATGCATGATGATCACATGTGATCCTGACATACTTCAGAAACAACTCTCCAGTGAAGGTGCTGTGTCCACTCGACGATACCCGAAGAATGTAGAAGAAGAGCATGACGCTTTTGCAGGATTCTTATGCTGATCGTGGGAGCGCATACCTGCAGGCCAAGAAGGAGCTGTGATGAATTCAATGACCCTTTGGGGCGGGGCATGGTGGAGCTTGCTCTAGAATTCTAATCTATACGGAAGACATGAGATGGCACCGCAGACTGTTGTTTTTGGGCGTAGGGCCGGCGTAGGGCTGGGCTCTTCTGTTGAACGTAAAAATTGCCTGACCATGTTTGTGAAGGCTGTGGAGTTTGGGCAAGTTCTATTTTCTATACCCTGGACATTGCGCTGTCGGCCCGTGATCCCTTCCTGGCCTGCACTGCAGGACATGATGAAGTTCCGCAACCAAGCGGGCACTCTGGCGTTGAGATGACGCCTGGTCATGTGATGAAATGGCCGCAGAAACAGCAGGAGCTCAGGTCAAATGCATGATCATGGATCATGCTCAAATTCAGGAAATTCACCAAACCGTCCGACCTGGCCATTCAGATCATCAAAAACGAATACAACATATCATAAAGGAGCAAGACATCAGGCATAGTGAGCCCATATGAGTCCATCCATTTGGAGTTCAGAAAGCGACTCTTTGGACGTTTGACCTGTGAACTACTGTATCCTTTTTGCTTAGGGAGCACTACATCATGAGGCGTTGTCAGAAGACTATGCAAGACTCACACAAATCCCCAACCATAAGCCTCCCAAATTGTCACTTCGTATGACTTCGCTCCTGCTGAGTGACTTCGTAGCTGACCTCCTTTGCAGCGTTCCCAGTTTCTGAAAGCAGCCCTTGGGATCGAAAGAGGCAGAATCGGCCAGGTGCTCGTCATGGGAGCATCCATACAATAGATGCACATACATTAGATGTTACTTGTTGGGCCAAGTGTTGCAAGTTAGGGTTACTGCATTTGATTGGGGTGCCGGGCAAACGCGCATTTTTCGTTTGGAATCTGCCGAATCCAAACTCAATCGGTGGATGGATCAGCATCTCAACACGCTGAGCCACCGTTGTTTCATCAAAGGTCGCGAGTGCAATTGCCCAATCGACTGGTAGGCTGTGAAATGGGATTTGTTTTCAGGTAGGGTGCATCGGACACTCCCCCCTTAGGCGACGTCCGGTTGAAAGCACTTCAAAGCAGTGTCCGGTGTTGGGAAGGAGTTTGTGCATGAGAAAAGTGTATGGATGGATAGAGATTGAATAAACTCATGTTGTCAAGCCCAATGACACACGGACCAACAAACATTTTGTGCATCCCTTCTGGCTTCCATGTGGGACATGCAGACCCCGTTGCTGTCGGAGCCCGGCTTGTCTCAAAACCATGTCTCTGACGCTGGCAGATTGCAAGCACAAACGCAACTTGGGTATTAACCCAGATCTTTGATCCCTGGTCTGCTTGCTTTTTGTGAAGCGAACAGTTTTCAGCGCAACACCTGCGCGATGGGTCGATATTCTTTTGAAGAACTTATTCGCATCTACGCAGGAATTGCCATTCCAATAAAAAAAAATAAAAGATTGTACGCATTTATTTGATTATATAATCTAATTTCGACAGGACCTTTTAAAGGACCCTGGGGATCTTAATAATATTGGTTTGAAGAATCGATACTTTTGATATGATATTTATATATATTGGCTACGGCCAGAAACATAAGCCTTGGATCACACACCCAAACCCACACACAATCCATACCTCGATCCATAGGGTATGGATCAAAAGGTGGGTGTATGATCCAAGGACTTTTATCACACAACTACCAGTGCCACCACTGCCACAACAACAACAACTACTACTACCTCTACTGCTACTACTGTTGCTACTGCCACCACTCCAACACTGCTACTGACTGCAGTTGCTACCACTACTGCTACTACTACAACAATTGCTATTACTGCTGCTGCTGCTGCTGTTACTCATGCTATTACTACTATTACCACCACCACAGATTTAGCGGAAGCCACTAGATTCAACTTCAAACTCAAAGTTGAAAAAGGGTTGCCGTCCCATTCTGGCAAAGATTTATCGGAATCCGCTAAGTGTGGTCACAGCCGGGACTCGAACCCTGACACCGTGGAGCCCGAGACTTTAACCATTAAGCTATAGAAGCCTCTGAGTGGAGGAGCCAACCCAACTATACCATATTAAAGAAGGTGCCAGAAGACAAGATAGTGGAAGGCCAAAGCTACTAACCAGTGTTCGGAGTGAGTCTGTCCCTCATCATGCAACTCGACGGCAGTCGCCGGCACTGCAGACCAAAACGAGCAAAGTAGAGTCTAGAAACTTCATTCTGTGAGGTTTGCTCCAGAGCCCACTGAATCACCAATTTGCGTGGCTAATGGCCTTAATGGCATCCAGTAACATAAAAACAGACCAGAGTTTGAGCCTACGCAGAGTTAAAAAGGCAATGATGATTGCTAAGCACCCTGACGACTGAGCTGTGTGAGCTTCTGGATGACTTATGGACTTTGGGCTTCTTGTATCGTCTTCTTGAACCAAAACAAGGGTTGGAGAATGAGATTAGTGGACCCCGAAAACTTTAATTTGCAAGGCTTGCTCTAACAGACCCTCTTGTTAGCCCA